TATTTAAAGAAACTTTTCTTTTTATATAATTTTCAAAACCTTTTTACTTCCCGTAATAGTGAATCTAAAGAACACTATTTTGGAGTCTTTGGATCAATTCCGCTCATCGGCTTTAACATGAATTTAGTTAAAATCTTTTGAAAAAATTCCTTAATTTACTACTGATCCTATTTCTAATTGGTTCTGACGTATATTAACTATATATAGTTGTCAAAACACCATATTTCTATCAATTTTCACAAAAAATACTAGAATCCGACCAAATATAATTAAGGAAAATTGCCAATAAACAATCAGAACAGATCATATTGTTAAACTATAATGTTCGTTTAAAGATGTATTAATTTAAAATCTTATTCAAATTTGGACGAGCGGTTGTGATTTTGCGATAATTTTTTTTAAAAAAGAATCTTCGGTCTGGGTTTTATCGCTACAAACATTTATAATTTATGATACCGCAAAATTTTATATTTATCATTTTATATTTATTTTATATTTTATCATTTTATATTTATCATTTTATATTTATCATTTTATATATATTTTTCGTCTTTTCGTAATTCACAGATCTGACCCTTTAACGGAAATATGTCGTAGTTAACAAAACATCTTACAGACGCTATAATATTTTAAAAGTGCTTTAACTACATCGAGCATGAACAAAATTTTAAAAATTGCCATTAATTCTTTACCATATGTGTATTTTACCACCAAAGGGTTTTCGTGGGAACTGTCGTATAGATTAAACCCGATATTTGCGCACCGTGAGTACAATTTTTGATTTACATTTTTTCTAGAATACTAAAAACATTTTTGACATGTTTTTATAATGATTATTGCAATTTATATGACTAGAAAAGTTTTTGACATAATTTTAGATTATCCAGCTATTATCTCTTAAAATGCCACAAATTCCTTTGAAAAACTTTTCTTTTGATTTTTTCAATGTTTACTTCCAGTTCGAGACAATAGCCGATTCGATTACTTTATTAAACGTCATGACGTTTTATAAAGTTATGTTTTAAGTTAAATTAAATAAAACAGCGCGTTTACGACAGTCGACTTTTATATTTGTTCAAAAATAAATTTTTTTTTATTAAAAAAAGTTACTTTAACTACAAAAATATTACGAAAAGTAAAACGAAATGTATGCGGAAGTAAACTCCGCAAATGCGGAGGTTGCTACTTTGATATTCCTACGCTAATTAGTGTGTTGCTCAGAAAAAGTATCAACGTAATAAATGTAAATATTTGAAATATAAACAATGAATTTTTAGTCAAGTGAAAAAGTCCAACTTGAAGCTAAGATCATTAATAGTTAAAAAAAAAAAAAACCTTAATAATTTGCCCTACAATCTTCACGAGGGTTGCTAAGTAGCTGTTTGTTATAAAAAATTCGTCAAAAAAATAATTAAACCTCGTAAATTAAATTAAGGCAAAGTGAAATACTAGACAAAGAATAAAAAAATCTTATATCCATTGATTTAAATTCATAAATTTATACCGATAATGTTACAAATTTATACTTGAATGTGCAAGTGTATAAATTTATAGTTATTTTAGCCGCCTAAAAAAATGCAAGCCAGGGTAATATTATAATCCCTTATTACTATTTCAATAACTGACAAATAAGTGTTACTTACAATATTAAACTTGTAATATTTTTAGCCGTTAAAAATGTGAACCAATATACTAATTATTATTTCAATAACTGACATGTAAGTGTGATCTGTTAATTTACCGACAATATTTAGTTTGCTTAATTTTACATTTTTATGTAGAACCATTTTGCACTATAAACGTAATTAAACTTATTTGTATGAAATAATATTTAATACTGTATTTATTTTTTGTAAGAAAATGCGTTTGTTTTTTAGAAGCCTGATTTTTAAAAACTTTGACTCATTTAAAACTTTGACATCATCAGTTAATAAATAGCATAGCGTATCCTAATCAAAGGGGACAGAACGGATATACTATATGGAATATAGATGTTTTGTGGTTTGTATTGGTAAAAAATAGTATATAAATACTTTGGCTGACCTTTAAGGAGAACATAATAGGGGTGAACATAATAGGAGAACATAGCGGGGTGTACATAATATGTACACCTCGCTATGCGTTCTCCTTAACGGTCAGCCAAAGTATTTGTATACTATTTTTTACCAATACAAACCACAAAACATCTATATTCCATATAGTATATCCGTATATCATACGTATACCGTATATAGTATATCAACATATTATGTTGACTGACTGTAAAAAAGAACATAGAGTGTACATACATCAACAAGTTTTAAGAGTTTAGCAGGCAATTTTTTTATTTTTGACTTTTTATTTATGACTACATTAAGTTGAGTTACCGATTAAACAAAACCGGCAACAAAGCTGCCAATTTGGCAAACTTTGCACGACACATATTCTAAAAATAATTTCCTTTCAAATGAAATGAAATAAAATATAGCTTAAACTCAAAGAAAAAATAAGATTTATTAATAAGCATATGTAAAACCTATTTTATAATATTAAATGCACAAGTTAAATAATTACCAGAAAAAATTGTAACAATTTTAGATGTAATCAATATTAGACAGTTATGTAACTTGTAAATGCGACTTTGACAAACACCTAATAATAAAATTCAGATATTCCTAAGCTTAGGTTTTTTAACTCGTGCAGCTTTCAGATTACCAAAAGAGTTACTAAAGATCCCAGCAGACACAAACGTGGTGGAACGTGTATACGGCATCTTAGGGACGTCACAAGTCCATAGGACATCCTTATGACGTCTAGCGAACATTATTTGCCCGCTGGGATGGCTTTTAATTGTCTTGTAAGAAGCCATATAGAACTTGCCAGTGATATGCACCAGTTGCCAAGACACATTTCAATAAACTTGATATATTAAAAATGTTGTGTTCATCGAGAGTGACTCCACTAATTGAGTCACTTTAATAAAAATTTTTTAAAAAAAAGTAGAGAAAAGCACTATTTATTCTAGATAAAAATTGTCAAAGACCATTAAAAGAAATATTTATGGTCACTGAGAACAATTTTATTAGAATAAGAACTTCCAAAACATGCCATGGTAAATAAAGATTTTGTATTACAGGAACCAAGTCATATGACAAAGAACATCTTTCAAATTGTATAAAGCATATTTTTAATTTAGTTTATTCACAATCAATAAAATTTACAAACTCTTGACGAAGAACGGCAAGCCAGGCCGCTCTGTGAATAATATACATTCTTAAGTTTTCTAATGGGGTTTGACGATAAGATCAGGACCGTACTAAAGGCGGGATCAACCTGGCCGAACTTAGGAGTGCTCAAAATTCTGCAAAAAATGAATTAAAAAATATATATTACTTGAAAATAAATTTTTATGGCGTCTCTTTGATGATGATATAAAAATTTATTAAAATTGCGCCTCTATACATAATCTTCAACTCATTTACTAAACAGAAGAGTGCCCTTCAGCAATAACGTTTTTTTTGTTGATATATATTTTTTTGAAATCTTCTTTTAGTAGAGAACATTTAATTTTTATTTATACTTTTTATAAATTAAGACTATATAGACATCAGCTTACAATAACGTTAAAATGTTTTTTACAAAATCATTTTTAAAAAATAAATCATTAAATAAAAGAAAAGAGCGTCTAGTAAGTGATGAGAAACTTTTTGTTTAGTAAGTGATGAGAAACTACAAATTTGTTTCAAGAAGTGGTTCGTAATAAACTTTGAAGTGGAAAAACAAATAATTTAAGATGATATTTACGTTAAGGCTAATGACTGTAACAGTTGAAGTTAATGATAGTTCAACAGATTAAGTTTTTTAAACAGCTCAAATTAATGACTTAAATTCCAATTATCATTTCGAATTAATTGAAGAGAAGATTTTTATCAGCCAAAGTCAAGAAGAATTTTGCACAAATGATTAAGAAATAACAGTGAAAAATGGAAATTTTTCGCATTTCTGAACAAGGTGAAAGAATTAAAATGAACTTTGTTCAGAAATATTAGAGTTTCCACTAATCTCAGTAGAAAACTTTTTACACAGAGATCCAGCAACATGGCCTAAAGTAACGTACAAAATAAGATGTTCTTTGATTCAGCATGGGCTAGAGCACGATAATAGAGAATGTTTTCCATACATGTTGTGTGATTTTGACAATAGAATGCAACACTTTAGCACAAATTCGTGTAAAAAAATTCATTACAATGGTGATTAGATTTGTTTGCTATTGGTTGCTGTACAACAGCAAAAAAGATTCATTACTTGCTTTTGTTCTTTTTTATTTTAACAACGAAAACCAACAATTTTTCAGAAATTTCAATAGCATTTCGTGATTGATAAAAATTATTCCCAAGAATTCCTGAACGTGAAAACAACAATGAACAACAAAGATGCTTTTCTGATTAAAAAACTCTTAAAAAAACCCTAAAGAAGAAAAGACCATAGATTCTGATCTACAGAGAGTTGTTAACAGAGAGATGAAAACGTATAGAGACATCTTGAAAGTCATTGTTGATGCTGTTTTGCTCAGGGCAAAAAATCATAAAAATCAAAAAATCAAAAAGCCTTAAAAAGACTTTCTTTCAGAACTTGAGAGATGTTGGAGTGGACAATATTATCATTAATGCCAAAGAAACAGCCTATCAAAATAGAAATAAAAGTGGCTTTTCTATAAAAAGGAAGCGCAAAGTAAAGAGGATGGCAATTTATGAAAATTTTCACCTTTCTTGCAGAAACAGAATTTGGATCAATCAATCATATATATATATATTCTGAAAAATAAATTTCATAGATATTTACAAATAGTAATTCTACTAATCTTAAGAAAACACCAAAAATATAGATCTTTAAATATATAATTAGTAATAATTATAAGAATAGTAATTATAGTAATAAAAATAATAATATAGTAATATAGTAATAAACATAAGAAACACAAAAATAAAAAAAACAACAACAACAATAGCAGTTATAATAGTAACTATAGTAATAATAATCAATATAAAAAGTCACTTGTTTTTATAAACACAATAGCTAAATATACATATAAGTTAGTTACAAACAATTGACTGATAAAAATAACAAGTAACAAGGACTATTTGATAAAAATAGTGTATATAAGTATGATAAATAATGACTTCAAGTTTCGATAAAATAAAAAGAATTATCAATACAACATATTTAATCCAAAAAAATATCAAGACCATTTATAAGTGCGATTGTAAGACCATTTATAAGTGCAATTGCACTGCCAACTGAAACTGCAGAACCAGGTAATTGTCAAACAAATTACCATTCATATTTTGATATTCATTTTTGTTTTCAGCAGAGTTAGTATCATTGTCCATTTCACCAACCTAGACAATACATTATACAGTTAATATATGCATATTAACTTTCTTTATTTACAAATTTTTAATATAAATAATTTTCTTTATTTACTAATTTATTTGTCTTATAATTATTTTCTATTATAACTTACCTTATAATTACGCATCAACACACAACTTTTTAAATGTTCTGTATAAATGTTGCCAAATGTTGGGTAACATTTATATAGAAAATATAGCAGAGAATATATCATTATATATAAATAATAATTATAAGATTATTACCTCTTTTTCGCCCAAGCTATCTGCATGATGAACAACATCATTTATATTTCCAGTCAAACTTTCCTGCCTATAATGTAATTAATATAAAACGATAAAGTTAAAATAAAATAGATTTATGCACATATGTAAATGATACCTGTATGTTGGTAACATTTGCATAAAACAAGGCAGCAACGAATATATTATTACTTATAAATCGTAATTTAAAAAATCTTATTTTTTCATTGGATCTATCTGACAGATATAAAGCATTATTTCTATCGCTATGGCCGTCCCGAAGTGATTTTAAAGGAGGGGGGGTGCTGTGTCTGATTTTTGCCAACAAAAGCCGAAAAAAAAATTTTTGCCCACTAATTTACCTTAAAAAAAAAAAATAAAGGTCCTCGTTTTCCAACATTTGCCAACTGCCAACTATAAAACCAATTTTGCCGACTCTAGCATCCAATTTGCAGACTAATAAAATTCGTAGAGGGGGGGGGGGCTAGACATCCCTACGCCCCCCTCGGGACGGCCGTGTCTATCGCTAGTCAAATTTGCCTGCTGATAATGTAGCAATTTAAATAAAATGGTAAAGTTAAATTAAAAAGATTTATGCATACACTATTAAATTCAAAAATTTATATTTTTACTTTACTAATTAAAACATCATAAACATAATAAATATGTAATTTATTAAGTATAGAAATGTAAAAACATAATAAATACAAGGGTGTGCGCATACATTAATTTTACTTAAGACGAGCACTTCAAATTAGTTAGATATAAACAAATAATAATAATTGTATTATAAAAAATAATAGTGTATACATTGCTTTTATATGCTTATAATTAACTGTGAAGTAAAATTATGTGAATTACCTTTCAGATATTTTTAAAAAATTGCTGTAGTTTTCCTTCTCTAACTAAGTTGCTCTGGAAACATCATTACAGGTTGAATCCCAAAGATTACACATATCCTTTCTGGTTAATTCAAACTCAATTCACCATTTTGTTTTCAGACAGCTTTTGAATTATTTATAAAAATATTAAATGTATATAAAAATTGACAATGTTATAAATGATATAAACGATGAATAATGAATAATGAATAACAGAACTAAAATTGAATAAAACATTTATTAAAATATAAAGTTTTTCAATACTTAATAAACATTTACCATAGATTTAAGTGTTTTAACTTAAAAAAATTTTATACAAACTAAAGCCATAAAAAAAAAAAAAGGACAAGTTATCTTTTGTACATTAGTTATCCAATCTTGTCCAATACACTGCTTACCTAAGCCTATCTAATACACTAGCTATCTAATGTACATTAAAGCTAAAATATTTGTAGTAAACCAAATAAACATTACAAATCAAACTGATTCACACAACATACTTGCTATACTATTGCAAATAATAATAAATAAGTTATGCAAAGTAAGCAAAGCTAGTGGCAAGAGCTAAAATAAGTAAATCCATAAATAATATGTATTTAAATATATAAGTAAAAAATAAATATATACATTTTACAATGCATCATAATATGATAATATTCAGAGACGTAAAGACAGTAAAGGCAAAGACCAGACTAAAACCGAGACACTTTGATTCAATACCAAGATTAAGACCAAGACAGTTAAATGAGTCTCGAGATGTCTCGGGACCAAGATTTAAGTCTCGAAACCAACATCTTTGATAATATCATGCTATGATACATTATAAAATGCATACGTTTCTAGCTATTGCAAATATGTCTAGTTGTTAATGTCTGTATGTTTAGTTTGAATCATATTAAATCTGATTCATTATGAAAAAACATATAATTTAGTCTTATAATACAGAAAAACAGAAGAACGCAAAAAATATTATTTAATAAATGTCATGTTACACATAATTGGAACTCTACTAATTACGACGGCATCTTTAAAAGCACATTTGTAAAACCCTTAGTACAACATGAGCTATTTAAAAAAAAAACATGGCTCTCCCATGGAAACTCCATAGGATTTCAGTTTTCATGGAAATTCACCAATCCATGGAAATTGTTGACATCATTAGTGAATTGGTCTCAAATTCAAAAAGAGCAAATTCACTAATGATATTATCAAAATCAATTAAAAAGCCAAAAAAGTAAACTTGAATTGAAGTTTGTGCAATATTCATAACAAATATTTTACACTTGATGTGATAAATTTTGTGAAAGCCTCAAACAGCGGTAGAATATCCGGTTTTTTAAGTAAAAAATACAGAAATGAATGGCAATTTATGCGTAGATTCCACAAAATCAAAATAAAAGTGTGAACACTATCTCTAAAAACAAAGATATCCAGCTAGTATATATATATATATATATATATATATATATATATATATATATATATATATATATATATATATATATATATATATATATATATATATATATATATATATATATATATATATATATATATATATATATATATATATATATATATATATATATATATATATATATATATATATATATATATATATATATAAATATATATATATATATATATAAATATATATATATATATATATATATATTTATATATATATATATATATATATATATTTTATATATATATATATATATATATATATATATATATATATATATATATATATATATATTTATATATATATATAAATATATATATATATATATATATATATATATATATATATATATATATATATATATATATATATATATATATATATATAATGAATATAAATAAACTAAAATTTCTCAATTTTTATACAGCAAAAACTATTAAATTTTTGTTTAAAATTTTTAATATATTAAACTTTTAAATTAAATACAATAAAGGTATAAAAGACTTTTTTTTGTTTTTGAAAGTAGTTTATATTCCTTTGAACATTAGTGTTAGTATATTATCCGTTGCCTAAATTTATTAAAAATTTTAAATTTTAAACTAATTTTTAACTTTTGAATTAAAAGTTTTTAGTTTAAAATTTTTATTTTTAAAATAACAAATAATTTACAGTTAAACCTTAATCTTAAGTTAATTTTTGTTGTTAATTTATTTAAATTCTAAATAGAGTGTTTACAAACACAAAATTTTAAAAAGTTTTTAAATAAAGTTTTACTTTTTTTTGATAAACTTTGCCAAAGGTCAAAAACGGTCGCAAATTGCGTGACGTAATTTATTAGGACGACCCCTACTATATCAAAGAAAAAAAGACTAAGAGATTTGGATTTAAAGAATTTAGTGATTGAATTTTATATCTTTCTTAAGGAAAAAAAATGTTCTTGTGATCTAAAAAAAAAATTTCATTCTAGGGTAGAGCAGGGCATATTGGGACAGCGGGGCATAACGGGACAGTTATGCCTGAAGCCTTATGTCTCAGCTAAAAAAACTTTTTTTGTTAAATTTTTTTTGGTAAAACATTTTAAATTATTGTAATTTATTATTGTAAAAAAAAATTTAATTTTAGAAATACCAAATTAGATTAAAAATACCGAAATGCATTTGTAAGTTTGCAAAAAATAAAATTTGAGTATTTTCTTAAGCAATACAGCGACAAAAGATTTATTTGGGACTATTGCGAATTTGCTTTGTTTATAAAAAGTTTATACATTTCAGACATTATTTTTTATCATCTGGTTTTGAAAAAGTATTTGGAATTGAACTTTTTGACTAGTTTTCAGTCAAATAACTTTTGTTGAGCATATCGGACAACAAGTTATTTATATAATTAAGTATATTATTACCATTTCGTGATGCTGTTCACAGTTTGATGATTTTATTTTTAATCTAAATATTATTATTTTTATTTAGAAAAGCAATACTAGTAATAAATTCAAAGAAATTCTTACTTTTATAACTTAACTTTGACTGTTAACAGTATTTAATGTAAACAAAGAAGGTAGGAAATTATATAAGAAAGATCAATCATCCAAAAACGGGATGAAATGCAGTTTTAGCTGTCAGTAAAAAGTAACTTAGAATTAGAAAAGCTGCTAATACAATAGCATGTTTAAGTTTGCTCTACATTGGCATATTACTAAAAAGATAGCTCATAAAAAATATTGCAAATTGTTTTAGGATATATTTTGTCTGATATATGTGACCCATAAAATTTAGTAGTAGTTACCAATTTAATAATATATGGATTATAGTAGAGTGGTATTTTATAATAAAACACACGCAAAAAAAAAAAGTTTGTTTTAGCTGTTATATATGGGTGTATGGGCGTATAGTTTCTAGGGATATGTTACTTTTTTGAGAGTTTAATGTCTGAACATATTTAGGTGATAGATAGCCTTCATTTTTTATGAATTTTAGAGCTTATATCAATGAAGTTTAGGAAATTTATAAAAAACAGTGTTAACTGTGATTAGTTTATCCGCAACTAGCATTTTTTTCTTAAGTGTCCCTATATGCCCCGCTCTACCTTACTCTTCCTAAAAAAGCAAAATAACTCAAGTGTTCTTAAATAAGATTACTGAATAAATTGATACGAGATTTTTATTATTTGCAAATAAAAAATAAAATGACGATTGCAAATACGTCAAAACGAGGTTTTGATATATTTGCAAACGTCACGTTGCTGTGTTAAACTCCGAAAGCTAAAATGATTACATGGATCTATTTAAAAATTGCTTAACAATACAACTAACTTTATATTAACAGTTTTATATTAAAAAAAAAGACTTAAGAATAGAAAATAAATGAAATACATATTTTAATAAAATTTTATAAATAAATAGAAAAACCGTAGTCCTATAAAAATTTCGTATTAAAAAAATAATAATAAAAGATGTAAAGTTTTTTTCAAAATCTTTCTGTTACATCAAGAATAATTTCTGATATCATTTTATTTTGTTTTAATATAAGCAAGTTTTAGATCTCTTTAAATAGAGTCCCAGCAGGCACAATGACGTTGAAATAACGTTGAAACAACGTCGCAAACCGACCATATGCCACGTTGAAACAACGTTGAAATTTGGTTGAATTGTAAATAAAATCCGACGTTGAAAACTACGACGTTGAAACAACGTCGATGATTACGTCGTTTCAACGTTGATCTAACGTTTTATCGACTACATATCAACCATATTTCAACTTTAAATAGGTGATATATTCGATTGATACGTAGTTGATAAGACGTTAGAACAACGTTGAAACAACGTAAATTCAATGTTGATTTTTGTTTTTTATTTTGGTTAAATCTAATTAACTAAAAAATTATCTCAACTTTAATTGCAATAAAATAACACAATAAAAAAGCAATAATTTGCGAAGAGGATATTATATTTCACGTAAATTAATCAGATACAACTAAATTGCTTCAACGGACTTTACATACAATGCAAATAAAATAAAATGTTTGAAAAAAAAAGTTTTAGTTATCAGTAATATATTTGTCAGTCACTTTAATTGACAAAACTCTCTCTATAAAAAAGGTATTGCCTGAGTAATTTGCATCAAATACATCAAAAAGATAAAAATAAAATAGCATTAAAAAAACAAACTGTGGTTTTTAAAAAATATATAATTTTACACTTAACTTACAAGTAAATACCTAATGTTTGTTCCTCTAAACTTTGCTTTACCTTTACCGCCAGCCATATTAAATTTTGATTATAAACCATTGGTCTACAACCTGCATTATACATTGTTATTATTATTATAGTTACATTAAAAATTGATAAACATGTCTTAGACAAAATATAAATTATTCTCAATGAAAAATTGCACAAACCGCAAAGGCTTCTTACCAAACCGTAATGCAAGTAAGAAAAAGAATTGATACAGGGAAAGAGAGTTGTCCAAGAAGACCACCTTCTAAACGCAAGAAAACACCAAGAGCGGACAGTATAATCAGAAATATCTGCCTGGAAAACAGAAAAAAAGCCACTAAGTAGAAGGCTAAAAGAAGAGGGATTGATGTCCAGCCGAAAATGTCAAAAATTGACAAAAAAATTTAAAAATAATGTCAAAAATCTTATATTTATGCAAGATGGTGCAACTTGCCACACAATAAAAACTGTTATGGCTTAGTTGATGTATTGCTATAGCTAGACAACTCGCATGATCTTAACCCCATAGAAAACATTTGGAAAATAGTAAAGCAAGAGATTGGAAAAAAAAATCTTACTAATAAGCAAGATCTTATGGAAGAGATTATCAAGATCTGGCATAATAACCCAATGTTGACAGAAACTATAAAAAATAAATTGCAAGCATGCCACAATGCAATGAAGCAGTTATTGCAAATAAAAGTGTTTTTGCAAAATATTTATACTTTATGTATATTTTATATAATTTATCATAATAATTAATAAATATTCAAAATGTTCAACTTTATTTATTTATTTTTATCAAGCACAACTTTATAAATAAAAGAAAAAACTTTAAATTGAACCATTATTGCATATATATAAATATATATATATATATAAATATATATATATATAAATATATATATATATATATAAATATATATATATATACATATATATATATATATATATATATATATATATATATATATATATATATATATATATATATATATATATATATATATATATATATATATATATAAATATATATATATATATATATATATATATATATATAAATATAAATATATATATAAATATATATATATATATATATAAATATATATATATATATATATATATATATATATATATATATATATATATATATATATTTATATATATATATAAATATAGTTTTAAAGAGCGTGTTAATAAACCAGACCAGAAAAAGTTTAAAAACTTAAATTTTTTTTTTTTTTAAATGATAGACTGCCTGCCCAAACCAAACCCTCAATCGATGTAGCAGCACTCCCTTGCAAGTCAGGCTATTTGTCAGTCGTTGTAGCAGCACTCCGTTGCGAGTCAGTAAGAATGCAAAATTCAATATTACGATAAACATTTTTTGATAAAAAATTTAATTGTGTTTAAATGTTTTAATTCTATATGATAGTAATTTTGCTTCTAGAAATATATATATATATATATATATATATATATGTATATATATATATATATATATATATATATATATATATATATATATATATATATATATATATATATATATATATATATATATATATATATATATATATATATATATATATATATATATATATATATATATATATATATATTGTGATGCGAACAGCGTAAACCTTTTTCCATATGTTGGGGTAAAATAATACCTTTATATTAGTTGTTACCACTGCAGCAACAGCAAATAACTGGTTAAAATTCGGCTAAAATACTTGAAAACAGTAAAAACCTTGATGGGCCGTTTAAAGTGTTGGTAACGAAATAATTAACATTCAAGAGTTTATAATGTTCCAATGTTTGTTTTTAATTTAAAAATCAAACGTTTCTTTTAAAGCTTAACGTACTGATGGAACTAGACAATTAGTTTTATAAATTTAGAGTTTCTGTTAAAAAAAAAATCACCAATCGTTTGTCATTTGAAGAAATTTAAAAAATTTGTAAAGTTTAAAAAATTTGTTTTACAATATCAAAAGTGTTGCAAAACAATACATTTTACAAAAAGATAGTTAAGATAAAAAAATAACTTTGTACAATAAAAATTTAAGTAAATCAAACATCTTTTTATTAAATTTTATAGAAAGTGCGCAGAGAATTGGAGAAGGCATTTAAAGAATTCTCTAATAAAACTTGTACAATGCGCAAATTAACTTTACATGGAAGATAAATACAAGTGAGAAAAAATCAAACAAAATTAAAAGTTCAAAAATTAGAAATACGTTGTGCTCTTACGAAAGCTTAACCTAAATTAAAGAGTTTTAGTGGAGATAACGTGATTTTATTTACAAAAAAAAAAACAAAGGACTGATATATATATATATATATATATATATATATATATATATATATATATATATATATATATATATATATATATATATATATATATATATATATATATATATATATATATATATATATATATATATATTTATTTATTTATGTACATGCGTGAAACGAAAGAATAAAAGAAGTACATAAAAAATATATATTACTTAAATTAAAAGATCCTATCGTTTCATCCGTTTTATTTACTCGTAAGTATAGTCTAACAAATCAGATATTTCTGTTTAAACATAGAAAATCCAATATTTTAATAAATCATTAGTGCGTTACTGTCGATAAACTGCAATTTAATAGTAATCCAGCAACGGATCATTTAATTTTGAAATATTTTATTATCTTGTTTAGAGATTCTAATAATAGCTTTTTTTTTAATCTAATCCATGTTTTCGAAGATTTTAGGAAAGTCTAGCTTAATATTTTTACTTTTTATGAGAACGCATTTGCCATCGGATCATATTGATTGTGGTGATGCCGATGGGCAAACAAACGTTAATTCGTTTTTAAAACAGTTTTTACAAGTTCAATTAGAAATATAAAAAGGTAAGCGAGATGATGATAAACTTTATAACGGAGATAATCATAAGAAGTATTTTTGCTTTAAACAAAAACAATATTTAAAAATTATATAGTTAAAGTTCCTTAACTATACCTTACTTGATTGGTGGCCATGTTAGATTATTCATTATACCAATTCGATATATAAAATAAAAAGTATATTTATAAAATAATATACATATATTTACGTCTGCAACAGTAATAATATATTTGTATATTAATATATTATAATAATATATTCGTATATTAAAATATTGTAATTTTTTACGTCAAAAAATGTGTTAAAAATGAATGAATGTGTGAAAGATGAATCGTATAAACAAATAGTATTTAAGAATCAATATTTATTACTTTTTTTCAATTTGTTTTTTTTCTTAACATAACTTTTTTTTATTGTATTAGAACATTTAGAAAACCAAGAGTTTTTAGCTAGGCTATATATTAGTTTAAATATTATTTTTTTTTTTGTTCATTTTAGATATTTATATTACTCCTTTGTTTTACAGCTTTATAAAAAAAAAAGAAAAAAAAAATCAAGTTTGTTTAAAAACTTCCATACATCTTACTTAATTACCTTTAACTTATGCTACTTGGTGTTACTTGGTCAATTTGTATTATTTATTAACTACTTCTTAGTAATGCCAGTGGTGATCGCCAGGGCCGTCCCGAGGGGGATGTCTAGCCCCTACGAATGTTATTAATCGGCACCCCTTTTTCAAACCTCTTGGACGGCTCTGGTGATCGCAAATGCTTACGCTTTTTCTTTTAATTTTTAAAACAAATATTTTATAAACATCCATTATTAATATTGGTACCAGACGAATAAATTTTTTTTACTTAGTTTGATCGCGTTGCAACAACTTATGTTGTTATACAGTGTCAAATTATGTAATACGCACTCACAATTATGTATGACCATTATATTTACACACGTACACGAATAAACATATTCACACATTAAAAACACACACACACATAAATGTTCACAAATTACGCATACACACATATATATTCGCAGGATACACTTAAACACATATATATATATATATATATATATATATATATATATATATATATATATATATATATATATATATATTCACAGATTATATGTACACAAAAGTATGTATATTCATTATTTTTTATTATAAATTAATTTTGTACTTTTTTTAGTGATATGAAATGAATTCTGACAAAGTTCCAAAATTCATACATTCAATTTTTTGTAGTATTACATTTGTAACATTAGTGATTTCATTGTTGGGAAATAAATGGGTAGTTAGTGAACTAAATCCAACTTGGCAAGGCCTGTGGAGATTTTGTGACAACTACGTTTGCAAAAGTCAAACAAACATTCCTATATTTTTATTAAGAGCTCGTATTCTTGCAATAACTTCTACCATTTTAATCGGAGTAGCAACTTTGGTTGCATTTGCAGGAGTATTTTTTAAAAAAATTCCTGGATATTATTCCTCCTTTATATTTCTTTTAGCAGTAATTTTTTTGGCATCTACGCAGCGCGTTTATTGGTATGGTAATGATTGGAATGAGGAACAAATGCATTGTGGGATACATTACTTTTTATGTTGGTTATCAACTATATTAAGCTCGCTGTGCTTTTTTTATGGTTTTTGTTTGTTCTAATCATAAATATTTTAGTTGTAACCTTTTTGAAAAACAAAAGCCTGACGATGATATATGATATTTGATCAAGTGCTCAAAAGATTGATTTCAACAGCCGCCTACTTCTGTGCTTAATTTTTCTTACAACCAAACTTTGTATACCAAAAAATAAAATTGAAAATCGAAAAAATGTCAAAAAAATATATTTACAGTATTTAGCACTTTAAATTTTATAAAGACCTATAAAAGAGTATTTGTGAATACTGCATACAGGAGCTATCAGTTATGTATTTTTATACTTAACATCCCGTCAAGAAACTTTATCAAAAGCGCTGATTATGTCTGTTGAGATTTGTATAAATTACATTATTAAGATTTGATTAAAAAAGATTTCAAAATTGGAATGTTATTATAGAGAGATTTTTTATCCTCATTATTAAAGAACGCTTAGAATCTAACGAATCCCCAGTAGATAATCAACTAATTGAAAATAAATGACTTAGATAAAACATTGATTTAAATAGCAATATTATTAACTAATACCAAGCAAAAATTAAAATCAAAAAAACCAATTGAATATATAACTACTATATAAGCGATATTTAAATTAGTAAAAATTTTATTTAATGTCTATAGTCATTATAATATTAATAAATGCATGAAAAACTATTCAGTTGTATTTAAATATTCTTAATACTTTTTTGCAATATTTATTATATCATACTTCTTAAATTGATTGGAATTTATATTTATATACTTTTAATTAAAGTTATTATTGTTGTTATCGACTTCGACTAGATCGAATAAACGACTAGTCGAATTTAACCAACTTTGAAAATTCGAATAGTCAATATTTTAATTAAATTAATTTATGGATTTTTTACTAATATGTTTTAATACTATGGAGTTTCTATTAATTTAAAGTAGTCGAAATTAGTCAACTTTAAAATATAGAATATTCGATTTAATCGACTATGGAGATTCTATTAATCGATTAAAGTCGATTAAATCGATTAAAGCCGAGTGATATTTTTTTTTATTTATTTAAAAACAATAGTATGTTTTTAAACTTTTTTACATTTTCTTTAATTTCTATTTGTTCATTTAATGATAAAAGCATGTATTATATAACTGTTACATTACCCCCGTTTTGTTTACTTTTTTTGTCTTCTTTTCTTTTATTTTTATTTGGAATTCTTAATCTTGCCGTTTTTATTTAGCATTTAGCAAAACTAGCTTTAAATTAAAAAAAAATTATTATTGTATTATTATGGTATTTTTTTTAAGCGCTAAAAGTAAACTTACAAGTATAAAATTGCATTATTAAATTTTAAAAAAACCAAAAAACATTTTAAAATTCAAATGTAAATATATTTTCGTTTTCAACCATTTTTAAGTTCATTTGTTGAATGTTTATATGAAAATCCATCTTTTCCCACTCGCCATTTTACTCCGTTTTATGAAACATTTATGATGTCATACTGGAACGACCGTCTGCGAGGACATCTGACCTGGAACCAAGCAGGTGCCATCGTGTGATTTAAACATTTTTAATTTTGTCTAGTGACTAGCAAAAAATGTGTTTTTTAATTATTATATTATTAATTATTATATTATACATTATATTCCTTTCAATAAAAACGTATATTTCTTTTGCAAAAACGCGCACCTCTAACCTTGTCCATTAGTAGTTACCATTTTTAACTCAAAGTTGTGTCATATAAAACAAGACTCAAATTGAAGTTTTTGATGTATATTAGTTTCCAATTTTTCAGAATTTATGCCTTGTAAAACAAGGTTTCAATAAAAAAAACTAACATGTGTTTATGAATTATTTGGATTTAATTATAAAAAATTATAACTCCTATCTATAGTTTAAATTGTTTTTATTCAGAACTTGAGTTACATGATAATAGTGACGACATACGCGATATTAGTGAGGGCCTAAAATAGAGATCTGTGGAGGTTTTATCTTATGCATCAACTAAGAGCTTGGATTAAAGAAAGTTTCATCTTGTTTTCTGGACCTCAAGATCTTGTCCCTAATAATTAAACGTTAATGCGCAGAATTTGTGTCGTGTAAACTAGTTTCAACTAAAATTAGTTCTATGATGTTTACAAATTTTATTTATCTTTTAATTTACAATCACTAATTTATCTGCTTCCTATAGTTTCGATGATTTTTATTCAAAAACGATATCACGTTTTTTAATGACGTCGTATTAGTTTTTTTGTGTAAGCTTCTGCGTAGGCACATGCATCAACTAAGGTTTAATCAGGTGTCATTTTGTCATCTTGACGTTTAGATAACGCTGATTAATAATTTAATGAAACAGTTTTATGAAAGAAAATTAACGATAAAAATTATTCCCTCAAAAATAAAATTCGAATATTAATATATATAACAGTAAATCATAAAAACTCTCTGTGCTTTGGGCTTCTACAATTTTTTTAATATTTCTCTTGTTAAATTAATGTTGGAGATAATCTCATTTTCTATAGAAGTTATTGACAGTGTGCGTTGAAGCTTTAATTTAATGAGCTTTTAAATCAATTTCAATCAGCTTAAATCCTCTAAAAAAGTGAAGCCTTTTTTTACGGGGTGAAACCTTTAATTTATTTGACCGGCAATTAAATCAAAATGATTCAAGATAAAAGCTGATTTAGTTTTAATTAAATTAGATCTTTGCTTTTTGATATTTAGAAATAATAAAAAATCTTTATTGAATCTAAAAGTATAAAAAACAACATAACATTAATAAAACATTTATTAAATACACAAAATCACAAATATTTACTCACATTGCTTACACAAAGCCACAATCCAAAAATTAATCTATTTAGATTCGATTTTCTTCTTTTTAACGATTATAATCATTATAATCGTATACGATTATTATGATAAAACATATTTACCCAGGTTTTACAGATTACATAAATTTTAAAAACAAACAATGTTTAAAAAAAGAAAAGATATTAAATTACTACAAACATTGGTAAAGCAAATAGTGGTCGACCGAAACAAGAAATTCTTCGAAATCAAAATAAATCAAAATTTCAGGTATACTAATTCATTACCAAACTTCGGCTGAAGCAGGTCTGGTTTTGGCTATAATAGTATGGTGAGTTTTGAAATGAGGCAAAAAGCTACGGACCATCTTGTTCACCAAAAGGCATGCTTAGGAATAAGTATCCTACGGGTTATCAGATTCATCAGATACTTTTCTATTTTAAAGATAGTCTATAAAAAAATTGTTGTAAAGAAGTCTATAAAAAAATCTACAAAGCGAACTTTCACTTTCATTAAATCCCAAAATCTTGTTATTAATAAGATTTATAGAGTTCTTTAGAAAAACAACAATAAACTCATCATGTTACGGTTTTCAAAGTTATTATAATAAATTCTTCATATCTGATGAAAACTTTGATCCAAATATAAAATTTTTATAATGATATGTAATCAGAGTATTTGTATCGCAATCTGAGCAAAATAAAAGAATTTCATTTTACAGATGAAAATAACCATGGGTGTGAAAAAATTGAACTCCTCCACATTTAATTTTAGGACCATTAATATTACTTTGACTCTTGATTTTCCCTGATATACAGGGGAAATCAAGTCCATTTTTGGCAGGATGGAGTATTTTAAATTCTCGATCGTTTGATATACCACATAAATTTAATAAACCAATTATTAATAAGTTATTAAGATTTTTCATTTTAACTTTTACTCAAAAACTTATTATTTTAACTATTACGCAGAAACTTATTTGTTTATTATCTCAAAATGATATTTTTGGACTTAGTTGGTTTCCCTTGTATACCAACAATATGCTAAAAAAATGTGTTATTTTCCAAATGAACATCTCAATGATTTTAAGTTTATAATTTAAATTAATTACCTAATTAAATCCCTAATTTAAAATTATTTTATTAAAAAGACATAATAAAAAAAGTAGTGGAGGAGTTCTGATTTACGTAAAAATAACCTTGCGCATTTTATTAGAATGATTTTACGGCGATAAAAAATTCCTCACGATTGGAATATTAAACAATAGAAATAAAAACATTTTTTTTAGCTGTTTTTATAGGGCACCTGACGGTGCGTGTAAAATCTTCAGCTCGTACTTGCGTTAACACATAATTAACATAGGCAAGAAAGAAAATAAACTGTTTTGCTTTCGTCACGTAAATATTAAATAATTTAAAACTAAGGGTTCTGGCATCGAAATACGGACAAATAACTCAAAAATAAATAAGAATTTATATTTATCCAGTAATCCAAAATGTGAGTAATCCAGTAGTCCAAAATGTCATACTTATAAGTAACTGATCAAAATAAAAACTTTCATTGTAATCAGCTCTTAAAAATTCACAAACATTAAACTAGAATTCAAAAAGTTATTGAGAGTTTGTAGTGAAAACTCTCAATAACGTTTTGAATTCTTGTTTAATGTTTGTGAATTTTTAAGAGCTGATTACAATGAAAGTTTTTATTTTGATCAGTTATTTATAAATATGACATTTTGGACTACTGGATTACACATAGATAAATGGACACAGAGGTGAATAGGATACGCCTGTTTAGGCAAAGGCTAGGAGAAGCCAAATCCAACTTAAAACACCCCCTGCTTTGGGGCTCTTGGTTGAGTAAAGGCTAGAGTTGGTGTCTCAATAAAAATACTCATCATGGACAGATGTTAAATGCATCCGGTTACTGTTTTGTAAAAGGCCTACTAGGCAAAGACTTAAGGGGTAAACAGATTCTATCTGTTGACCAGCTTTGCACCACTTTTTTATTTATTAAGTCTGACACAAATGTATTTTTAAAATCTTGTTTTCAGTTTAGAATATTAAATGCAGGATATTCTTGAATCAATGCATTGGTTTTGCTTGTGACTCTGCTGGAATGACTAGGCAACTCATTCTGTTATCTCCTAATGAGGGTACAGCTCTAAAACTCATTATTATAGTTCTGAGGCCGGCTGGTAGACAGGTATCCCGAACTATATGGTAGCTCTCAGAGAGGCTGATTCCATCAGCTGAAAAATATCAGAGTACTAACAGTGCCATGTTGCGCGTAGATGGTGTCCCTGTTTGCAGTTTTGGTGTGCATTGTCGAGGCCATATTTGAAGCCCTTTGTTATGGCTTAGGATTTATTAACAGTAATGAAACAGTTG